CTTTTCTAATAATTTATTTAACTCTTCTCTATATTTTTTTATCTCACATTGAAGAAGAAAAACCTCTCCCTCTTTATCCTTTACCTTCTCGATTGCTGCCATCGACATTTCCAACTCCCATAATTTCCGCCGAACTCTTGTAATTTTTTCAGGCTCATACCACATTTCACTTCTTACTCTCCCGCAAGTCTCATCCAATAAATCAATGGCTTTATCCGGCAAGTAAGCGGTAGTTAAATAACGCTGTGAGAACTTTACTGCTGCTAAAAGAGCCTCGTCATAGATTTTTAATTCATAATAAATTTCAAAATAATTCCGAATGTTCCGCAAGATATTCAAGGCATCTTCTGGACTCGGCTCGTCAACTAAAATATTACTGAAACGGCGCACCAAAGCTCCGTCTTTCTCAAAATATTGACGATATTCCTCCTGAGTAGTAGCTCCAATACACTGGATATCACCCCTAGAAAGCATTGGTTTTAGTAAGTTAGCAATGTTAAAAACTTCTTGACCGCCTCTGTCTCCTACAATCATGTGAATTTCATCAATAAAGAGAATGGCATTATTTTCCGGCTGAGCCATGTAATCTAAAATCACTCTTAATCGAGTTTCGAGTTCTCCTTGGAATTTGGTCCCAGCCCTCAAAGACATCATATCAAGTTGGTAAATTGTTTTACCCTTTAAGTAGTTAGGAACTCGATCTTGTTTAATCTTTTGGACCAGTCCTTCCACTATAGCAGTTTTACCAACTCCAGGATTGCCAATCAATAAAGGATTGTTTTTCATCATTCGTGACAAAATATAAATTAACTGCTTAGTTTCTTTTTCCCGCCCAATTACTGCTAGTTCATTGACTTTTTCCTTTTTATTGAGATTTTCAGTAAATCTCTCTATAATTTCTCTTTCTCTATCTTTATTCATGAAAAATTTGACTTTTAACGATAATTATTTTTTAACTTGAAGTGTATTTAAAACGAAATACAAAAATACTGAAAAACGAAACTGCCCTTTCTCTTCGTAATTCATCACTTTCAAATTCCTCAGGGAATCGAGTTCCTTACTTAATAGCCTTAATAACACACTCTCCCTCGTAATCTCATAAGTCGCTGTGCTTGAAATAAGTTTTTTTGATTGACTTTGTTATCAATAAAAATCTATTCTAGTGTTTACCGGCTTTTCCGTGTTCGCCAACTTGCCTAGTAGGGGAAAAGACCCCGAGTTTAAAGGTTACCATCCCATGCTCGATTCGCCTACTAAAAAATTTTTTGCCGTTGTAAATCTCGATCGTAAAACCAACCATTTCTGGAAAAATAGTGGAATCGCGGCATCTAACTTTAATAGGAGTATTACGTATTTTATCAATTTCATTCTGTTTGCCGCCTTGCTTTTCTAATTCAGCAATTTCTTTCAACCGCTTTTCAATTTTTTTTTTTAATTTTTCATTGACAAATAATGGTTTTTTAAGTGAACGTGACATTATATTATTAATTTTAGGTTATAAAGAGAAGAGTAAGAGTTTTTCGAGGTCCTGATAACTTTCTACTTCATGTAATTTTTTAACCTTAGCCCGAACAGACAAGGGAACTTCGTCATAGTAATTTGAGGAATTTTCTTTCGAAATAATAATAGTATCGCAGTCCCCTTTTTCAACTGCTGCGGTGATTTTTCCGCCAATGCCGCCAACGGCTACTATTTTACCTTTCCCACATTCATTTTTATAATGATCGCTAATACATTCTTTGGAGCAAAATTTTTCACTTTCTTCGTTCTCCCAAATTCAACAATAATAATTACTACAACAGGAACAATTTCCGAATCTTTGTCGGCTACACTCGAAACAACTGTAGACATTTTCATCCCATCATTTTTTGTAGCAGTTTCAAGTGCAAAATACTCATTGTGAGTCCGGATTGGTAGCGTTTTTGTGAAATTCTTTTTCTAATTTATGAGTGATTCTATCGTATATGAAATGATATCTAAAAGAATATTTTCCGCATTGAGCACAATGGTCATGACTTCATTGGTATTTTTTAGGGACAAAATTAATTTCGTTTGGGGTTTGCTCATTTTCGTTTTTAAATTCGCCAGTAATGGCAAGATTTTTGGGAATAGGGTGTTTAAAAAAAGCGCTAAGAAGAGCCATACAAACCCCTGACCCAGCAGAAGGTCCAGAAATAGTTCCAGCATTGCTATTTGCTTTTAAAACAATAACATCATATTCCCATTTAAAACCTTCTTCGATTAGTTTTTTAGCCACAAGCCTGATAACCTTGCTATTACTGTCTGCTGTGTCGGCAAACTTCTTGCTTTGCCAAATTTTTATCGAATTTACTTCATTTATATTGTTAATGTCAGCTTTAACAGAAGGTGATTTTTTTAAAATTACCAATAATTGGTCGCAAGAGCCTCTGTCTTCGTTACCTTTGTAAACCGCCAAGGAATTTATTACTCCTATTCTTTGTGAACTTTTTAAATCAGGAAGTTCACTTGCCTCTAAACCTCAATGCTTCAATTCTTTAATATCCTCTTCTAAAAGGTAACCTTTTTTAATAAAATCTGAATTGGATTCAGAGTTGTTTTGGCTATCATCATTCGAATCTTCATCTTTAATAGGTTCATCTCTTCTTCTATTTTTATCATTGTTATAATACCTTTCTGGTCGATATTCCTCTAACTCATCTTTTTCTCCTCCTTCTGCTGAGAATGTTACCAGAAAGAATATGGCGAGGAGAGAAACAATTACCAATAAAACTCAGTATCAGTAATTACCCTTCTTAATCTCACTTGACCCAGCCTCCATTAATTATTTACTTTTTTCTCCAATGAGTAATATATTTGTTAGAAAGTTTATTTTTTTTACGGGTTTTTTTACCTAGGGTTTTTTTACCTCATGGACTTAAAGGAGAAGGATGACCAATTCCTGCTTTTTGTTCTCCACCTCCATGGGGATGATCACACGGGTTCATAGCAGAACCACGCACTGTTGGCCGAATACCTAGCCAGCGGGTTCGACCGGCTTTTCCTAATCGGACTAAGTTGGCTTCGCTGTTGCTTACTTTACCAATTGTCGCTCGGCAAGTTGCTAAAATCCTATACTCTGTTTTGGAACCTAATTTAACCGGTAATCTTCCATCACTTCCTACTTTCCCAATTATTTCCGCATAAGTACCGGCACTTCGCATTAATTGCCCTCCTTTCTTTGGCTTTAATTCTACATTATGGATTGGAGTATTGACCGGAATACGGTGTAGAGGCAAATTATTCCCAATTTTAATTGGGATATCTTCACCCTCTCCGCTGATTACTTTATCACCAACTTTTAGTCCCTCAGGAGTAATAATATATCTGAAATATTTTCCGTAATTTATTAGTGAAATAAAACAGTTACGATTAGGGTCATAATCGATACTCATTACTTCTCCTTCAATTCCATCGGAATGATAGGGATTACCAAGTCCACTTTTCGCTATCCTCTCAATAAGTCGATATTTTCTTTTATTTCCTCCTCCTCGATGCCGAACTGTAATCCTACCTTGGTTATTACGTCCCGAGCATCTCTTTATTGTTTTTAAGAGTTCGCGAGGAACCTTTCCTTGGTAAGGAACTAGTTTTTCCCGGTAATCTATTAGAATAGTGTTGCGTTTAGAATTAGTTAAAGGCTTGACTGTTTTCGTCATATATTAATAATTTTATCTAATTCTTTATTTAGTCTATATCCCTTTTATACTGTTAGAAAAAGATCATTTCTACTTTTTATTGAGATTTAATAAGAAATTTATAATATTTAAAGAACAGTATTTATTCTGACAACATGCCTGTCTATTCTTTTTCACTCCTCATTTCGTTCGTCCTGAATTTTAATTCCTTTTATTCCTTCGCTTTCTATATTTCATTCCATAATTAAACTAGTGGGCAACCAGTAGTTAATTCTAAAACCTGGCACATATTGCTTTACTTCAATTGTGAATTTTCCTCCAATCGGAGCATTTATATCATTAATTCCTGTCTCTGGTTTATGAATTTTAATTGTATTTATTTCACCTTGAAGAACTTCTGCTAATCATCGTCCATGCTTTTCATTTTTAATTCAGTTACCAAATTCCTCAACAAAACTACTATTTTTGATTTTTTTCACTTTTAATTTTAGTCCAATTTCTCCCTCGTGCTCTTTTCCTAACAATTCAAATTCTCCTAAACCAAATCATTTTTCTCTACTTGGTTCACGGCTTTCTGTTCTTACTACTATTTGTTGTTCTTGTTCGATAACTGCCTCTTCGGCTATCAATGGTATAATTTGTTTATTTTCCGTCATAATATTTATTTTAATATTATTTAACTTCTTTTGGTGGTATTAAAGGAACAAAATGATTGCCTCTATTATAAACGACCCATGTTTCGGAATAAGTGGGAGTAAAATCCCTGCTAGCGTGAAAATAAATTTTCATATCAGGAAAAATATCTGTTGAAACCTTTTTACCATTGCTTATTATAACCAACGGTCTTTTCAGAACCCAACCTAAAACATCAATATCAGCATTACTCATTCATTTTCTATCTTTAGCAACACCTCTTTCAATCATTAATTCTTTGAAATTTTTAGCTTTACACTCATATTCAGAAATGTCTCAACGTTCTCTAAAATTGGTCATAAATTCTAAACTCGCAGCTATTCGGAGGCGTTGGGTTAATTCTAAGTCACTCCTGCCAATTAAAAAAACCGCATAGGAATGAAAAAAGCAATTACCATCCGAATTTGCCGATAATTGAACTCAGTCTTTATACCCTGAGGGGTCATGAACTAATCATTCTTTCCCATCTAAGTTAGGTAATGAACCGGAAGAATCCAAAGTTTTTAATTTATCCATTCCAATCCCACTTAAATCTACTCCGGCCAGCGGGTTGCCTATTTCTTTTATTATGTCATCTTTCTTTTCTTTAAGTTTTTCAAAAAATTCCTCATTTAACCTTTCAAATTCTTCTTTGTCATTTTTAGCCACTTCACTAAAAGAATTTTCATCATTTGGGTCAGTTAAAACATAATCTCAAAATTTAGAAGGAATTAAGTCTCCTTCACTTAGTGAAAGTCCTACATATTCACCACCCAAATCATCTGGAAGAAAATATTTCTTACTTCCATCCCTAACATACTTATTTTGAATTTCCTCGCATTTTTTTATGATTGTATCCAATTCGGTATTATAAAAATTTTGAATATCTTGTAGAGTTTTTCCTCACTTAGTAGAGGGGGTTTCTGTTGGAGGAGTAGGAGTAGGAGTTTCTGGGTGATCAGGCAAATCAGGAGTAGGAATAGGGTCAGGGGTTTTAGTTTCTAAACTTTCTAGAATAGTTTTT